GGTTTAACATGTAACAGAAATATATTACTCTTGTATTACTTTTGTACAGTATAATGTACATCTTTAAATATTCCATTTTCTATCAAATTTAAAGAAAACAATTCAATGATAAAAAATAAATATTACAACCAGATTAATCACTGAATTGTAGAAAAAAATAATACAATTATTAGCCTATTATAAAATGTTTTATAGGAATATTCACACAATTTTTCTTCCATGTATTAATGTCAACAGTAAACCTCAGTTTGTTTGCCAAAAAATAAAAGGGTTTAATTTTCATTTGACTTAAAATAAATGTTTAATGCCTTCATTTGATTTTCAGAAAAATTAAAAAGAATTTCTGGGGGGGGGGGAAAAGAAGTTTGCAGGGCCCTATTGTTCAAAATGTTGAAATTGAGACTTTTGGACTTATTTTTTCACTGAAATAAATGTTTTTGTAATTACACAGAGAGTAAAGTACCGAAAAAGGGTACCGTTGGGTACCTGCACCGAAATTCAGGTACCGATACCGGTACCGTACCGGTTAAAATGTGAACGGTACCCAACCCTAGTGTTGATGTGCCGTACCAGTTGTGGCTGCGGGCAAACTCTCATCTGGCAGAGGTGGATGGTGAAGATGGCATGAGAGCGGGAACTCTGGGCGTTCATCTGCGTGCTGGCGGTGGTGCGGGAAAGAGCGCCCAGCTTCAGACACTGCAGCAGCTGAGGAGAACGGACAGAAGTCTGAGTGAGACGAGCATTGACAGAAACATCTGTTACTGTTAAGTCATCAAGTAATAAGAGCCGTTTAAAACAAATAAACATGAAGTCAACAATAAATAAATGACATTCACAAAGCATTTCACTTCATCTTCTGTCAGGTTTCTGAGTGAGAACAAACGATCAATGGCAAATAATGTCAAAACAATGTAGCTCTTCCTGCAACAAGCTACTGTTTTTGTAACTCTATACTCCACAAAAACAAACACTGCATTACAATGTTTTAATAATAATAATAATAATTAGTCGTAGTAGTTGTATTTTATATTAACAACATTTAATATACAATATATGCATTATTCATACTACTACTAGAAATATTTATCATATTAAATTATTATTAGCAGTATTAATAGTAAGAGTAGTAGTGTTAATGATGATAGTTATTATTTTTATTATAATAATATTTACTACTGCTCCATCACCAACAACAACATATACTACTACTAATACTAATAATAATAATACATTATTTTTATTATTATTTACATTTAATAAATAATATATACACTAGTACTACTACTACTAATAATAATATATTATTATTATCAATATTTAATATATAATATGCACACTACTACTAATAATAATAATAAATATGTACAGTATTTTATGTTCAATATTACATATTATCATCAACAACATTTAATATAATACTACTACTTCTATTATTATTATTATTATTATTCCTCTATACACAAAGACATCTCTTTTTGTAGTGATAATAGTGTAGTGATATACAAAATAAAATCATAACATTATTTACAATAATTGTACACTACATTATGTTTATTAAATGCTGCTGACAATCACTGTATTTTCAACATAATTACATAAAAATTATGGTGTTTCATACTTTTATTGCTGGCTTAAATCCACTTAGATTGACTGTAGTTTTAACTATTTTTAAGTATCTTGTAGCAGTTACCTTTTAAATGATCATTTAATACGTTTTTCACTTTTTTTCTCAGAATTGTGACAAGGCAACTAGCAATTGCAAGTTTTTTTTTGTGCGTTTCTCTCACAATTCAGACGTTTCCCTCACTATTCTGGGACAAAAACAAATTTTTAAAATTATTTTTTAAAGAGTGTCGTGCACTGATGAAGCAAGCACAATAATATCAAGGGCATTTAAGAAAGCAATTAATGTCAATTCTAATGACTCCAGTAAATAACCCAGGCTGAACGCAGGGCATAAACGCACAGATATCTGACCTCCTCCTCTGAGCTGACCAGCCGTGACGTCACTCCTGTGGTGTAGATGCCTCCGCTCGCATCCTCATGGATCTTAATGTTGGACTTCCTACCTCGAGCCTCAGGGTCACGTGTGCTGTCGAACAGGTCCAGGATCTCCTCATTATAGAGCTACAAGACAAATACACAAGCTTTGTGACCTTCAGAGGGCAAAGGTCAAGAGGTCAAAAGGCCAGAGCCTTGCATGTTCGACCTCGGGAATCCCAGAGACCACACAAGACAAGGGAATGATAAATAATGGCAACCTAATTCATGAGCAAATCTACAAGACAAGAGAGAATGAAAAAAGAGAAAGTAAGGGACAGGGCTTTTCCCAGCTTCCCTTGCTTGGGGAAGTGGCACAGAGGGACTTGATAAAATCGATTTAGGGTTCAAAACAATAAATCAAACTGCTAACATAGAACAACAATGCACAAAGTGCACAAAGGAGTTCTGGAAAGGACAAGACTAATGAAATAAAGGCATTTTAATGCCCTATTAAAGCCGCCCCAAGAGACGGTGACTGTTCACAGCCACAGAACTTGACAAATCTGTCGAGTTATTCCCCACAGCGAGCCGCGATTCTGCTGAACAAACAGCAGCCTGTGCCTGACAGCAAGCGGCACGGATCGTTAAAACGCCCTGTTACAGGTTTAAACTCATTACCTAAGCCAGGACTTTACACGAGAAAGGGGCTAATCGGTTTACAGCTACACTGCTGTCTGCGCAGCCTGCCAGCTGAGCGCCTCCTTCCCGCCTAACGACTGATATCCAATAATGTGGACTTGCGAGGGGTTTTCTCCATGTCATCAAGAGCAGTTCCCTCTCAATCACACTCAGGTCGAGAGTCACAGCACCGTTACGAGATAAACAGAGCAAGGAGACTGGGACTACAGCCATCAGACCCAATACACACTGCAGAAAAGAGTTTTGATTATTGGAGTACTTTTATAAGAAAATACTATTTTACTCTGTCTTCCCAGAAACGACAAGTAACTATAGAAGCTTATTTCTACCATGGAATAGAAAAGAAGTAATTGTGACTTTATCTCACAACTTTTTTTTTTTTGTATTTTTCTCAGAATTGCAAGATGTTAACTCACAATTACAAATGTATATCTCACAGTTGGGACTTTTTTCTGGTTATTCTGCTTTTTCTTTTTTATGGCAGAGCTTACACATATGTGTGACACTAGCGCTGTTATATAAGGACAAGGACTTCATCTCCAGAGAGATCTGAGAGTCACTTCATGAGCAATTTATGGTTTAATTTGAGAAAAATTACTGTCGAGTGCACACAAAACCTCAAAGGTCTTCACGACAACCGAAACAAAAAGTTCAGTTTAACTTGAAGAAATTGTGACAGAAATACGTGTCTCAATGTATTAATAATACTAATACTACTACCAATAAAATATTATTAAAATGTTTTTTTAAGGAATAATCACAATTATTAGAACAAATGTTCTTTAATTTATTTTTAACAGTAAACGTCTGTTGTACTTGTACAGCACTTTGTTTGCAAAAAATTAAAGAGTTAGTTTAATTTTTATTTACTGTTAATGTTTTATGACTTCATCTGATTACCAGAAATATTAAAATACACAACACAGAATTTCAGAAAAAAAAAATTCAAATAAAACATTATTGGGCCCTATTATTTATTTATTTAAAAAAGAATAATAATAAATTATAAGTAATAAATCAAGTTGTTTTTATGAATTCAATTGATTAGACATGCTCTTTGCTTATTACAATTTAAAATTAAATCATGTGAAAAATTAAACAGAACTTGAGTTATTTCACAGGGTCCTAAAAATCTAAATTTTGGTAAAATTGTAATAAACCGTTAAATTATACAACTTTCAAGATTTAAATGAATTAGAAATGCTTTTGGATTACTAAAATGTAAATTTAAGTCTCACCTCCAGGAACTGGGCGCTGACTTTGAATTCTGGCAGGGGCATGCCGGCGCTCTGCGCATCTAGTCTGCGTTGCTGGATGCCCTGGAAGAGATGTTGCACAGCCCGTGGGATGATGCCCAGCTCTTCCTCCAAAATGGTCACATCAAAGCCAGTGCCCATTGTGTAGGTCTTTCCTGAACCGGTCTACATGTGAGAGCAAGACGACAAACATCAAAACTTGCACAAAACCCATTAAAATGCACAAGCAAGAATACAAATGAATACAACATGTACAATGCTAACACACCATATACATTCATAACAACATAACTAGTGATTAAAGGGGTTAGGAAATGCATTTTAAAAATTATTTTATGTTTCCTTAGGTCTGCTTATAATCAGTTTTGTTGTTTCATCAAAAACAGGCATGATCTAGATATAAATGGTCCTTTCTACCCTGATTTTAGCCTCTGATTTGAACGCTCTGTTGAAAGGGGCGTGTCTGCTGCGAGACTTCTCTGGAAACGCCCACTTCTATGATTGGCCAACATCTTTGCATATGAAATGAGTATTACATGGTGAACTCTCTCTTTAGATCTACTCCTGTTGAATCAAAGGTTGCACCGCAGCCGAACACAATCATGTCTACTGAGCACACGATGCAAGGATCTCCTTATTGCAACGCAATTTCTGCAACCATAACTTACATAGCGTAAAACACAATGTAAATGACAGACTTGTTGAACAAAAATTATAAACCGTGTCATTGATTATTACGTGAGTTTTGGTGAAAAATCAGAAATCAAATCACTGATAGACTCGCGCTGATCTCGAACAGACTGCTCCAGCGAATATAAAGAGAACAATCTTTGATCACTTTCTGTTTGTGTTCACAATATGGAGAACTGTAGTTATACATATTTCACTGTTTGACTGTAATTTGATTTTCATTGCATCTAATCAAACAATTGCAAATGTGAGCAAGATAATATCATCAGTTGGCATTCAAAATGATGCAAATATCAAATGCCTATTTAATCAGATTATATGCAATCATAATTAATCATTTAATTTAATAATATTAAAACAAAAAAATTTGGTAATTTCATTTGTATGCTGCTTTTTGACCATGTCAAAGTTTTCGAAATACAATCTGTTTTCTGTTAAAGATTTCTAGGTTTCAAGAACCTAAAAAGGTACAACATTTTCAGGCCAAAATTTCAAGCTACCGAAACTTTGAAGCAATCCTTAGAGGAGTTCTTAGGCAACCAGATCAGAGCTTAAAGATCAGCAAATGATAATGTTCAAGAAATAATTACATACACTATTAAAAATATAAGATAGTCTGATTAATAATAGTGGATAACAAGAATAATAGTAGATCATTAGAATAAACAGTGCATAGGGATGTTAACCGACGGTATAATTAATACAATCAGTTAAACGGTTTAAAAAGTCTTTTTTTTTCTTTTTTTTTCTCAGTAGGCCTAATTTATCAAAATATTAAAAAACATTTGCTGCATGGTTAAAATTAGGGGTGTGAACCTACACTGGTCTCACGGTTCGGTTACGATTATCATGTCACCGATTCGGTTCAATTCAATATCACGATGCATCACAATGCACTGACGATGCACTGCATCCTCAATTTTCAATTTTACTTCACATTTATACAATTTTGTCAATAAATACAAGCAGTCAGATATATGAACTGTACCAGACGTGGTTTCTCAAGTTAGTGGTATTACCCCCTGCTAGTGATGTGACATTTGAACCGAGGCATCGGAGCTTGTGTCGAGAATAAATGGTCGTGCCAGATGAAGCTTCGATTCGAAGCTTGTGTTGTTAACATAGAAATCACGTGACCAATAACAAACGAAGCTTCACTTTCTGTCCAGTCACGTGTGTGATTCACTTTGCGTGTTGGAAGTTCGAATCCCCCAGATCTTACTTTACGAGTAAGTTTTAATTCGGACTTATTCAGTTACATTTTAGATACCCAGTCATACAAGTAATATGAAGGATACAAATTATTTCAGAAAAATTCTATATTTGTCATATGCAATTCATATGTGTACATTATTCTTCTATTACATCATATTGATATTCGTACTGGTATTAAAATGCCCAGTTTAATGGGTAAATGAATTTATCAGAGACAGAAATTCAACAAACACAAACACTGTTAGGCTTTTATTTGTGCACATAACTTGAATCGGTCTGTGACATATGTGGTAGATGCCTCGTCCTACGGAGCATCTTTCACAGGCTTTTAGCTGCTATATTTTTATTAACCACACGTCTGTTTTCGAGACGCTCAAAGCTTTGAATCTTTTCCCGAAACAGTCAGAGGAATGCCTCAATGCTTCACGAGGCTTCATTTGCCCATCCCTACCCCCTGCATATTTCGTTGTGCGTGACATGATTTACACACAGCGTCTGTCTTCTCCAGGTCGTGCTTACCAGGTTGTTCATAAAAGCCGAAATGTGGCCAGATGTCGGCTTTTAAAGTAGTTGGGAGCATTTTTAATTACTCGCACTCGCGTCTCGCCTCCCTCTGCCATTAGGCACGTTCGATTTGAAGCAGCGCTGCGTAGAATGATCAGTGTATGTCATAAACCGCGAGAGCGATTTGAAAGCATAAGGATCCGTCTGCTCTCTTATCGCTCTCACGGTACTTGATGTCATACACTGATCATTCTGAGCAGTGGAGCATCAAGCCAAACGCGCCTAATGTAAGCTACCACGACAAAGCACGTACGCGACAAATGACTTCACAAAAGTGTCAGTACGTTATAATCGGTTATGGTCTATTACTGAACCGATACCGAATCGTCCTCGTCTGCATTGCGATGCATCGAAGAAACGATTAATTTCGACAGCCCTAGTTAAAATACGCTACATGTATAATTTCTTTTTTGTTTTTTAGAGAGAAAAAAAAAACAAGTCACGTATAAATTAATGCTGTGTTCAAAATATCGATATGACGATGTATCGTCACAGAGATTTGACGATACGAGTATCGATACAGCTGGCCCTGTATCAATATAGTGGCACGTGTGCAGCAGTGGACCATGCTTAATTTGTTTAAAATTTTACAACGTTTAAAATGGAGTAGAAAAGCGTGAGGTTTCTAAAAAGTAATGAATAGAGCATATATAGGCTACAACCGGGTTTAATCTGGCCGCAGAGGAACACAACTGGGTTGCCTGATATAAAGAGACGTAATCCCCGAAACAGAGCTTTACACTTGCGCAATACGGAAATATCTGCTAAGTGTGCTACTTATCATTGTCAACCTGGCAAACGTGCACGCGCTTTCTCTCCACTGTGGATAAACACGCTTGCTTTCTGAAGACTCCGGTTAGCTTGCCGTTTAGCGATCTCCACTTCAATAATCTATTTTCAGAAAAGTGTGATTCATCAACTGTTCATTTACGACACAGAGAGAGAGAGAGAGAGAGAGAGAGAGAGAGAGAGGCTGTGTATTTATGAATTACCACCGTTTTGCCTCGTTTCTCTATTAACAGTAAAGCTGTGGCTTTAATTCCTTTAGAAACAATGATGCTACCAGCTCCTTGTTGAGAAAGATAATGTAGCTCTTGAGCGATTAAGCTATTTAGTTGATAAAACTGCGGAGCAGCGCTAAAAAGTTTGTTCCTGAATGTCTGAATTCGGCCGCAGCGTGATCTGTGTGTGTGACTGAACTTAACATCAAACTGTTTCTGTTTCACACAAATGCTGGCACAAACGTGCATGTTCGGCTAGAGTCGCTTTGAACTCGTGCATCTTCGGAAGCGGAGCTGTATCGGAGCTGAAAGTTACAAAAAATGTTGTGCACACCGCCACGCGAAACGACGTCGCGCGAACTTCCGCCAACATCGCGATGACGTCATATTTGCCGCACGCACCTATGTTGTTATTGTTCTTGTTATGCAATAAAAAATTTTAAAAACTTGCAGACGCGTCGAGTATAAATCAGCCTTGAG